AAATTTACAATTTTGCTGCCTTGACCTCCCAGGCCTTTGCCACCAGGCCCAGCGAACACAGGCATTTTAATCCCCATTTTATAGATGAGATAACTAAGGCCAAGAACAATTAAGTGGCACACTCAAGGATATATATGACTACTAAGAACCAAAGCTAGCCTTACACTGCAAGGCCTCGCTGAAACACTGAGATTCTAGTCTCTCTGGGCAGATGGGGGCTGAACTGCCCAAATGCTGAGCTTATCTAAGGGAGTGAACGTTAAAACAGCATGAGGGAGGGTGATCCCTGGGCTAGGGAACTGCTCCAAGATCTGCACTAGAGCTCGGGAACTCGCGTTGTTTGAAATCAATGTCCCAGACAGAGATTAGCTCAGATACTAAACTCAAAATTCTCCAAATGGAGAGCGTTGCTGTAGCTCTAACTGACTCAATTTTTTAAGAAGCTGGGAGGGCCTCTCAAGAACAAGAAAACATGGTCAGTCGGCTGAAAATGTTCTTGGAAGGTCTACATGCTTCCCTGGGCCTACTGCTGGATTCCTGGGAGGGCTGCCCACCAACCAATCCAGGGGATCTGGGGAAGATAGAATCTCCGAAATCGCAACTATGTGGAGGAGGAGCAGTGCCAGCACAGACCCTCTTAAATGTCACGGGCTCGTTTCTTTGGAAGCCAGAAACGAGATGAAGTCAAAGCCCGCTGCAACAGCAGCAGTAGCTCTATATGGAGTGAAACACCTGCAGCACAGACTGCTGGGAAAAGTCCAAAATGGGAATGTGGTCTCAGTGTGTGACTGTAGGCCGCAATAGGAGACGCCACATTCTCTGCAAATGTTTAGACCTTTCAAGGGTTCAGCCAAAGTCACATGCAAGGTGCTTGGAGGTATCCCTGGGAGAATCGGGCCTACTCCTACAGTCATGTAGGAGACAGTTATAGTACAACTTTTCCAAAATGCTTGACTCGGGGCCGGGGAGATGGCTCAGTAGGATAAGTGCTTCCCTTGCAAGTGCAAGGGCCTGAGTTCAATCCCCGGTTCTGCAAAATAAATAAATAAGTAAATAACAAAATGCTAGACTCTTCTGAAACCAGAGAGGTCAGCTGAACTTTTGATGCTGGGAAATGATTAAGGAAGAGAGAGAGGAGGTGAAATCAGCTGTGCCCGGAGCTGGCATCACGGGGCTGCTGCCTCCTGAGGTCAGCCAAGTCTCATGCTGATGACAGATCACCCTTGTTGTGGTCCTCCATTCTCATGGTTAAATGCTTCCAGGTGTCCCAACAAGGACCAAAAACGAGTTCCAAGCAATAGATTTGTCTGGAAAGATTAGCTATGAGTCAGGAGGCAATCGGCACCGACAAGTTCTAGCTTGTGCATCACATACCAAACAAAAGACAGTCCTTGGACAAAATTTCTTCCTTAATTGCATCGAGTACCAAATTCACAGAGTTTCAAAGTAGTCAGGTACCAAGGTATGACTCCGTTGGTATGTAATGTGGCAGGCCTGGTCACAAACAAAATCTTTTTGGTCGTCAAGACTCAGCATCCTGACACTTCACCTATGTTCTGCAAACCAGTGGAGGATGGTTCCAGAAAACAGCATCCCCAAAAGATGGAAAGGTTCCTTCACACCTCTGTTGTGAGGAGGGATGCCAAATGGCAGCAAGAGTTGGGGGAAGCTCACGCTCCTGGTGGTAGCTTTCTTTCTTTTCCCAGATCAAAATGGAAATTTGCAGTGATAGCTGTCTCTTTAGAAATCTAATGCTAGTACAGGTAGGTCTGACCCCAAGCTCTGCCTGGCCTAGGGAGCCGTGACTGGCAGTGAGGCTGGAGTGACAGTTGATCTCACAGGGGTAACTCAAACCTTTCCTGGTATCTAGACAGCCAGGGAGAAGCAGAGCTGAGAGATGATTCAGATCTCTCCTCCCCAGACAAGGGAGGGCACAAATAGCTTTCAAGACTGGAGAGGCACAGGTGCCCTGAGCAAACAGTGCCTTGTATTTACCCTTCCCTTCCCTCAACACCCTGAGAGGGTGTTGTATAACACACACGGAGACACTTACAAGCTGTGGAGGACAGCACAGAGGGGGTGAGGCGAGCAGAAATAATTTGTTACTTATGCTAGTCCATTTTCCGAAGAGCTAGTTTGAAAGGTGATGAGTGTGAAAATACAGATTACAGAAACAGAGACAGGAGCAAGGACCTGTCAGAGGAAGGTGGCAGAGACCCAAGCACATGTACAGACGCCCAGAGGGAGGAGACAGAAAGGAGATGACAGAGGAGATTGTTAGAGAGCTTTGCAGTGCAAAACATCGGGTAATTCTCTCTTCATGAAGCATTCAGTAAATCTCCTTCGCCAATGGTTTTGTTCTTTTTTTCCCCCAGCAGTAGGGACTGAACCTGGACCTTGTACATCTCCATGAAGCACTGAGCTACACAGATATGCCCAACAATGCTTTTCTACTGTGGTGAGAGAGGAAGTCTAAGTGCTGAGCTTTAGCTCAACAAAGGACCCAACAGCATTTGGGGGCTGAGTGTGAATGGGGCGCGAGCAGCACTCCCTAAAGGCCTGGAAGGTGGGAAGAGCCTCACAGACGGTGCTTTGGAGGGGTGCAAATTGGAGGTGGCCCTGCAGAAGAGGTGGCACAGGGGGCCTTAAAACACACCCACCCCTTCTGCTACCTTTGGGGAAAGTAAAGACTCTGACTGCTGGAAGCTGGGTGGAGGGGTTGTTTGCAAGTATTCCATACCCTGAGGACGTGGGCCTGACCGTGATCTGTGGGGAAGAGCAGGCTGTGGCTGTCTGGATGCCTGGTCACCTTCAGAGCTCCAGGGCAAGGGGATGCTACAGAGAGTGGAACAAGGATCAAAGACGACTGTAGAACAATTACTGTATCTCTGAAAGAAAAACAGATCTGAAGACCTCTCCTTCACCATCATGGCTTTACCTCATTGAATTTCAACAGTCTCCCCCCTCCCCCCAGCTCACTAGCTGGTTCCCAGCTGAGGCAAAGGCTGTCGCTCAGCCACATTCTCTGATTTGTACATTCGGCAAACTTGCCAGGACTGCGCACTGGTGCTGGAACCATCCATCCTCACTGCCTAAAGATCCCCACATCCACAACTCTCTCAGAGTGATTCCCCCTGTACCTAGTTCCCCCAAAAGGGTCTGGGACCTCCTCATTCAGGGGGTTCCAAAGTAGATCCCAGAAAGTCTGGGGGTGTCTTTTGTATTTTATGTATTTAGAGACAGTCTCACTCTGTAATTCAGGCATGCCTTGAACTCACTATGTAGTGGTCCTGAACTCCTGGAAATCCTACTTCTCAGCCTCCCAAGTGCTAGGATTGTGGGTGGACACTACGTTCCAGGTTGGTGGTGCTCTTTTATTGATTAAACTTGTCATACTTTTCTATTATCAAACTGTCTTTTGTTACAGGAATGTGAAAAGGGCCTCTTGCGATGATTGGGAAAAAGTATCACGTTTCTGCCCCTACAATTTCTGACACCCAACCTGGGGCATCATGGGTTGGTAGCAGCACCATCTGCTGAAGACACCTAGTTGAATCCGGAAGCTACAGTTATGAGATCACGGACCTTTGACAAGAGTCAGCAAGTTAAGGATTCTTAGGCCCAAAAGTGGGGCATGCCTGTAATTCCAGCATTTGAGAGGCTGAGGCAGGAGGATTGATGCAAATCTGAGGCCAGCCTGGTCTATATAGTGAGTTCAAGGCCATCCTGAACTACATAGTAAGATCCTGTCTCAAAAACAAAAAAGAAAAAAAAGAAAAGTTAAGAAATCTAACATCAGCCTTTCAAATTTTTGTCTATGGGATCTGGTCAAGCCAGAGTAGTCTTATTTTAGGCCTAGCCAGGACCTCTGAGGGGATTGGGGAAATTTTTTCCTTCCCTACAGTAAGTACCCAATAAATAGCAGGCACTTTCATTTTTAATAATTTTAATAAGATAGAAAAGAGACATAGAAAAAATATTTTTATAAAAGGGCGCAAGGTTTCCACATTATTTCCTGGTCACTGGAATACAGCTTCTCTTAAAAATAGACACATGATTGTATTCATGAAGCATAGAAATGTTATAATTTCAGTATCAAAAACCAGTTAACTGATTGAAAAACCAGGGTATATGCACTCATCCTTGAAAAAACTATTTGCAGAAACAAAATGACAAAATAATGCCCTACGGAAAACTGAACGGCCTTGGAAAATTGATGTGCAACATTTTTGTTCAATTTATATGTTTAACCTAGGATTTACAAAGAAAAGAAGTTCCCTTGAGCCTTCTACTGACCAGTCCTTTCTACCCCTTAGGTTCATTGGACAGGAAATACTCAAAAAGATTTCTAGGTTTCATTCCAAGCTTTTGGTTCTGGGAATTTCTAGTCATGCGCTTGTGCCTAGGGTCTTGGGGAGGGCGTTGAGGACAATAAGCTACTATGCATGTTTTTCACTAGGCTCCTTACACAAGACAAATTTCCTTAACCCGGCGGTTCAACTCAACCGCTCGAGTCAGCTTGGAACTACAACTCCCAGCGTGCCCCGCGCTTGGTCGCCCTCCGGATAGGCCACGGCTGGGTGACGCTCAGTGTTTTGGCCTGAACGGTCACATGTTTCCTTTGTTGTGAGCTAGGCCGGAGACTGCTGGCTCTCGCGGACGCCGGCGCTCAAGAGTGCTCTTCGCCGTCAGCTGTTTCCAGCTCTCGCCGAGAGGTACCGGGGGTGACAGCTCCGCACCGGACGCAAGGCGAGGACCAGGGGACGCGGGGGCGGCGGGGGTCTGCAGAGGCTGCTGCTGGACCCTCAGGGCCCTTGTCTGTGGCGGGGGTCCCGGGTGGTACGGTGTGTGTGTGTGTGTGGAGGAGCGTCCCCGGCCCTGGCTCGGCGACGACTCCCGGGGCAGGGCGCCCCACCTCGGCATCCGGGCCCCGGACTGCGGCGCAGCCTGCGGGGCGTGCGGTCGCCGGCCGGGTCAGATGTTGTGGCCACGCTGTCGCCATGGAGGACGGGACGGGGCTTCAGGCCTGTGGGGTGGCCGAGGGGGTTCAAACGGTGCTGCCGCTCCTTTTACGTCAGGCAGCGCCCGGGTGCCACAGCCTCTGCTGCAGGCTGCCCGCCCACCAGCGCCGCGGGCGGCCCACCTCCCTGTGGTGAAGCGCTGACGGGACGGCCGCGGGGTCTCCGGGTCCACGGCCCCGGGGGCCGTTAGAGTGATTGCGAAACGAGCGCGGCGCCGTCACCTGACGTTGCCCCCGCCCGCGAGTCTTTGTTTACCCGCCCGCACCGGGAACCCGGCCTGTGGCGGACGTCCTCGGGGAGCCTTTGCGGAGTGGGGGGGGGGCAGAGGGCGTCCTGCGGCCGAGTCCCCGCCCCCTGCCACTCCCCGCCTCGGTCTTTTAATTTAGTTCCTGTCTCGGGCGCTGGGGTGCAGACCGTTAACGCGCCGAGCCTGGGGCCCCGCGGGCGCTGGTGGGCGGGGCCGGCTGGCAAGCTCTGAGTTTTCATTGGTCAACGGCCCGTCACTCAGTGGGCCTCCGGTCCGTGCTCCCGCCCCCTTGAAGGTGAGCTGGAGGACGCGCGTGAGCGCGCCGGGCCTTGGGGACCGCTGCTAGCGAGGGATGCGCGTTCTCGTCTGCAGCTGGTGGAACCCGAACCGTGGCTGCGAGTGAGGGCGGCGCGCTCGCGTCTGCAGCTGCTCCAGCCCAAGCCAGTGGGCAGCTCCGGGCTTGCCAGGGCCGGCGGCCAGGTCCGCCCTCCGAGGACCGGAAAATCAGCACCCTGTAACTGCTGTCGCATCATCTGCCAGTACGGTGCGAAGGAAGTTCTTACAGATTGGTTCCTGCCTGTTTTGTAGAAAGGGTTTACACAGCTAAATATAGCCCATAACGCCACATTTTGGGGTGACCATAGAGCAGTGACTAGTCACAGTGAACTATGATTAATTACTTGCTCTTGTTGGCGGCAATAAACACCATCTTAGCGTTTGTAGTTAGACCATTAAAGTGCACCAACTGGTTGATAAAAATCACCTGGGAGTTGATTTTTCTTAGGTTTATAAAATTAGATTTAAAATCTGCTGTCGGTTAAGACAAAATATTTCTACTTTTTGAAAAAGGATACTTTTGAGTATACGCCTCTAAAATTTTAAAGGTTCCTCCAAACCCCAGTTTACATATTATTCCTTGTTTGGGGCACCTGGTTCGCACACTTGTGTGTATTAATCTTGTTAATTCTGTTTTGAGTAGTAAAGTGCAGATGTGTTCAAAAATTGTAAATGAAGATGACAGTAATAAAATTTGGAAGGCCAGACATAACATAAAAGTAGTTTATCTAATCTCCTGACCTACCAAGACACTTGAGTTTAATCGCAGGTTTTGTTTTCCTGCGAATCTGTACCAATTCACCCAAAACTTAATATATATTGTTCTTATAAGAGGAGGGTTGAATTCTCTAGGTGAAGCAGGACTTAATGTGAATAGTTTTAATTGGTTATACAGACCTAACATTTTAAAAATTCACCTAGAGATGACAACACTAGAATGTACAACTACTGTGATTCGAACTGCTGAACAACATTGAGGACTTTTACCATGTCTACATACGTGTAAACGCAACTGTCTGACCCTTAAAAAAAAAAATCACCACGTGGTAAAGGCTTGTTTATTCAAAGTCTGTGACTTAGTCTCTAAACAGGAAGAAGAAATAATATTCTGAGTTATGGCTTATCAGCTTTATCTTAAACTTCCTTGGCTTCTGTCCAAGTTGTTAAAACCTTAATGCTTTTTCAACATACTTTTTTTTTTAACTTCCTTGTTTTTCTGCCACTTCACTAAAACCCAAAGGTCAAGCCTTGCAAAATAAATATTAACTATATAGCAAATAAGTGACTGCAGGATTTTTTTATGTATACTTTCCCATAACCTAGAAATTTGAGACTTTTAAAATAATTAGGTATGGACTGTAATGAAAAATATACAGTATCCTTGCAAGTACAAGTATGACGTAAGTTTACATGATTTTCTGTTATGACTGAAACAGTAGAAGAGTATTGGCCACTCAGCATTACATTTTTTTAAGTTTTTTTATTAGTGTGTGTTTGCAGTACGTGATGTTTACATTCATCTTAAGGGTGTGCATGTACTTAACATACTTTGATTCTTTTTGTTCCCCTTTCTGCCTTCCTTTCCCCCTGTCTTCAGAAACCTTTTCTCCCATTTTCATTATTTTTTTTTAGTTCATGTTTGTGACATGTAGTGATTATATTGGCCGTGGGTGATCAGTACATGACATACCTTAAATCTTTTATATCCCTCCCCTCACACTTCCACCCTTGATCTGTTGGTCCTTTTCCCATTTGCCCTGTCTCCCTGTTTTTTTCTGTTGGTCTTTTATTTTGTTCTTTATTTGTACTTTGAATTTCTCATATGAGAGAAACCATATGGTATTTGGGATTGTGTATCTGATTTATTTCGCTTAATACATTTTCAAGGTGCATCCATTTTCCTACAGAAGTCTCAAGTTTATCCTGTATAGTCAGTATTTCATCATGTATAGATAGCACATTTTCTTTATCGATTCATCTGTTGATAGACATATCGGTTGCTTCCAAGATTTAGCTACTATGAATTGTGCTGCTAAAAACATTGGCATACATATATTGTTGTAATATGACGTCTTTAACTCAGGAACATACTTAGCAGGGGATTAGCTGGGTAAAATGAATTTAAGTTTTTAGTTTTTTGAGCAATCTTTCTACTGATTTGCATAGGAGGGTTCCTTTTCCACCACAGCCCTGCCAGCATTTAAAACTCCCTTCTTACCAAGCATGGTGGCACACAACCTGTAATCTCATAACTCTAGAAGCTAAGGCAGGAGGATCACTGTGAGTTCAAGGCCAGTCAGGGCTACTACATAGTGAAGAAGACCCTTTGTAAAAGCAAACAAAAACACTTCAAACCAAAACACTGCTCTCATATGAAAACCACAATAAACCATTCCATTGCCATGTTGTGTCCCTAGCTGCTCCAAGGCTGAGACAGGAGGATCATTTGAACCAGGACACAGAAAGACCCCATGTCCATATAAGAAGAAAAAAAAAAAAAAAAAAAAAAAAAAAAAAAAAAAAAAAACCAAATAAAATACTTTTAAAAATTACTACTTTTTTTTTTTTTTGGCAGAACCGGGGATTGAACTCAGGCCCTTGTGCTTGTAAGGAAGTGCTTATTCTGCTGAGCCATCTCCCCAGCCCCTTATTTATTTAATATCCATGCCAAAATTCATCATCTAGTAAGCATAATTTTTCAGCATTTGACAGTTAATTTTGGGAGTTTTTTGAGAAAGAGTCTCATACCCCAAATTGGCCTCAAAATCTTCCTTTCTCAACTTCCCAAGTGCTGGAATTATAGGTATGCACCAACATGCCCATCTGGTAGCCTCAAAGAATACTAAAATTGATTTTTTTATTTTTAAAGAGTAGGTTTAGGCCAGGTATTGTACATACCTGTAATCCTGGCATTTGGGAGGCAGAGGCAGGAGGATTATCTATAGGTCTAGGGTAGCCTAGGTTACATAGTCCAAGGCCAGTCTGTACTACATAACAAGACCCTGTCTTTAAAAAAAAAAAAAAAAAAAAAAAAAAAAGCAATACATTGTTTAAAAAACAAAATTAAGTTAATAACAAGAGAAGAGACCTTAAAAATTGAATGCACTGGAGG